AGGGAAAGCTTTCAGGAGGAGTGAGCAGCCTGACCACTGTGGACCAAGCTCTTCCCTCTGGCTGTGCAACCTCCAGCAGGTCCCTTGATGTCTCTGAGCCGTAGTATCCTTGTTTGTAAACACCCAGCTCAGAGTATTTGGAAGTGTTCAGCCTAATGCCCGGGAAGAATTTCGCACGGTTCCTGGACCACAGCAAATGGGTAATTATTATTTTGGTTCTTGATAAGGTGAGACTTGAAGGACAAGTTGTGGTTAAGCCAGGTTGGAGGGGGTGGGGGAGTGAGCCAGAGCTTTCAGGCAAAGGAAACTGTCCCCGGCCAAGGCTGGGAGGGGAGAGATGGCCTAAGAATGGCAGGGTGTTCAAAGAGGAAGTGCTGGAGGGGGAAAGGAGTGGGTGGGTCTAGACCATGCAGGGCCTGGAAGTTCTGATGAGGAACTTGGTTGTCTTCCAAGGCCAGGTGCTGGGGAGCCACAGGAGGGCTGTGAGGGATGAGGGGGCCACTCTGGGGGTAGAAAGACTCAAGGACCATCTGGGGGGCCGCGGACTGGAGGGAGGAGGCTAGGCAAGCAGACAGAAGTCAAGGCCTGCGCTGGGGTCTGGCTGGTAGAAAGAAAGGGATGGAGCAGAGAGATTCAGGGGGCAGGAGGGGTGGGATCCAGAGACTGACAGCAGTGAGGGGAAGGAGCAAGGGAGGAAGGCTCCCAGCATCCCTCTAGATGGTGGAGCCGCACTGGAGATGGAGAATGCAGGAGGGTGGAGTTAGAGGGAAGACTCTACGTTTAGTGGGACATGGGGCATGTTAAGACCTGGGGCTTGAGGAGACACAGTTCTGGCTCTCAGGAGAGAGAACTGGGTGGAAGATAACCACTTGAGACTCGGCCCTGAGGGCAACAGGGGACCATGGAGAGCAGAGGGGGAGCAGGGTCAGGCATGGGTATTTGAAGATGTAGGCAGGACAGAGTGGACCAGACACCGGGAGGCTGGGGTGGGGGGTGCCAGGAGGCTGGGGGGTGCTCTCTCAAAGGGCACCTGACCCTCCTCCAGGAATTCTTCCTGACTTCACCCCCCCACCCCGCTCCACAAGTTTGTTACTAAGTTTCCAGCTGGGACTCCAGTCTCACCATCGGCTCCCAGGGGGTGGGGAGTGCAGGGGTTACGCTGGGCCTTCCCTCAGACAGGACTAGCTGATGAGGACAAATGGGGTGGGGTGGGTGTCTCGGCCATACTATCTGGGTGGGGGATCCTGGCACCTCCCACTGGATCTGGCTCCCTTCCCCGCCCAGGAAGCTATCCGTCCTGTTGGACTCGTCTAGCCCGGGAGGAATGGGTGCAGGCCCTAGGTCTTGCCCCGGTTTCCTCGCGGGTGCAGCTGGCACCATGGGCACCTCACGGGCTCTGCTGTTCTTCCTGCTGCTGGGTAAGACCCCCACCCAGCCCCTTGCCCACCATTTCCCTTTTCTGCAGCCCAGCAACTCCCTCCCCTCCTTTTCCTCTGCAGCCTCGAGAGTAAGGGTCCTCGCCTTCAAAGCCTCTTCAGGAGTTCAGAGAACCAATCTCTCCTCGGACTCAGAAAGCTCTTCCCAGGGCCCGGGTTTGAAAGTTCCCTCCATCAAACCCCCCAGCTGGAAATTTCCAGATCAGTCTCCAGGTTCAAAAGCTGATATCCCTCATTCTGAATGGTCTCCTGAGGTGCTGAATTTGAAGGATGTGCCCGGGTCCTTCGAGTCTAGTGTTTCTGCTGAGAGCGAAAAGCTGAACCCGGACCCCTTCTCTGGAATCCCTGGTTCCAAAGTAGTTCCTCATACCTCGGGTTCTCAAGTTCCCGCCCCAAACCCGGAGGCTTCCTCCTCTGTTAAGACCCCAGCTTCCAACAGGCAAGTCCCCAATACTAACGTCTCTGTGGAGACCCCAGTTTCAAAATTCTCCCCTGAGGATGAGGATCTTAAATTCTCTGCCCAGAGCCTGGATTCCAAAGTTCCCTCAGAGGCCCCCTCGGGGTCAAGCTTATCCCGACAAGTGGGGGGCCCTCTTGCAGTGCTGGTGGGGACCACAATCCAGCTCCCTCTGCTTCCAGTTCCTGGCCTTGGTACCCCTTCCCCTCTGCTGGTTTGGCGCCAAGGTTCCAAGGTGCTGGCAGCTGGGGGCCTGGGACCAGGGGCCCCTCTGATCAGCCTGGACCCCACGTACCAAGACCGCCTACAACTTAACCAGACCCAAGGGAGTCTGGAACTCTCCGCTGCCCAGCTAGAGGATGCTGGGGTCTACACAGCTGAGGTCATCCGGGCCGGGATCTCCCGGCAGATTTGGGAGTTCATTGTGCGTGTATATGGTAAGTGGGCCCTGAGGTCCAGAGTGCTGGTTGCAGGGGCTGCTGCGGGCAGGTTACTGCTGTTCTGAGGATGTGTTTCCTGCCCCAGAGGAAGGGGTTCCTAGACAGGGGAGCGAGGACTTCTGGGCTGGAGGGAGGGAGAAGAGGAGCTGGGGGTCAAGACAGGCGGTCGAGGGAAGTTGGACCTGGGGACCAAGACTCCTGGGAGCACGGACTCCCGAAGTCCAGAGACGGGAGAGCTGGGGACTCAGACTCGTGCGTCTGTGAGAAGAGGACTCTTGGGGCTAAGAGGGCGCCTCGGCTGGGGCGAAGTCCTGGGTGTAAGAGGTGGAGGGGGCTGGGGCTCCCTGGACCTAAGGGACGAGGGGGCTGAGAACCGAGTCCTGAGTCCGATCCCCCTCTCCCAGAGCCCGTGTCCAACGTGTCGGTGAAGCCTGAGGCCCCGGAGACCGAGGAGGGGGCGGCGGAGCTCCGGCTGCGCTGTGTGGGGTGGAGGCCGGGTCGCGGGGAGCTGAGCTGGACCCAGGACGGGCGCGTCCTGGAGGCAGCGGACACTGCGGGAGTGGAGCCACCCCGGATCCGCGTAGAGGGCGACCAGCTGCTCATCGCGCGCCCTACGCGCAGCGACCACGCCCGGTACACCTGCCGCGTCCACAGCCCCTTCGGCCACGCGGAGGCCGCGACCAACGTCAGTGTTTTCTGTGAGTGCGGCAGCGCCTCCGGTCGGGGACAGGGATCTGAGGGCTCAGGCTCCTGGGGTCCCTAGGGTGGAGAGGGCTGGAGGTCCAGTCTCCGGAAATCCTGGAGGAGTCCCAGTTGACCCCGACTCTCGCGGTTCCGACCCCCTTCCTCCGCCCAGACGGCCCGGATATGCCGGTCATCAGTCTCCTCCGACCGCGACGCCGACCCCGCCCTCTTTGTCACCACGGGCAGCAACGTGACCCTGCGCTGCACCGCCGCCTCGCGGCCACCGGCCGACATCACATGGAGCCTGGCCGACCCGGCCGCGGCCGCGGTGCCCGCCGGCCCGCGCCTCCTTCTGCCCTCGGTCCGACCCGGCCACGGCGGCGCCTACGCCTGTCTCGCTGCGAACCCGCGCACCGGCCACCGCCGCCGCTCGCTGCTCAGACTCCTTGTGGCGGGTGAGAACGGCGGGGTGGATGGAGGGGCGGGGTCAGCAAGGAAAGGCGGAGATGCCCGGGAGAAGGGGCGGAACCAGCAAGGGGCTGGGATACCCGGGGGGGATGGGCGGGGGGAAAGAGCGTGGTGGGGCGTGGCCGGCAGGGAGGGGCGGAGATCCCAGTAGAAGGAACGGGGGGGATGCACAAGAGAAGGGGAGGAGCAAGGATGGCCAGGAGAGGGGGCAGGGCCAGCACTGAGAGGGCGGAGCTTCTTGGGGATGAAGGAGTAGTCAAGGAAAGGGACTAAGTTGCTTGGGCCAGTAAGTGGGATCAGCAGGAGAAAGAAGTTACCTGGGAAAGGGGGCAGAGTCACGCGAGAAAGGGGTGGAATCATTCTAGAAAGGGGCAGAGTCGTCTTAGAAAGGGGGCAGGGCCCACTAGGAATGGCAGGGATGTCCAGAAAAGGGGAGGGTTCAGTAGGAAGAGGCGACTCGTGGAGTAATCAAAGAGGGAGGCCAGGGCTTCCCTGGTGGCGCAGTGGTTGAGCGTCCGCCTGCCGATGCAGGGAACGCGGGTTCGTGCCCCGGTCCGGGAAGATCCCACATGCCGCGGAGCGACTGGGCCCGTGAGCCATGGCCTCTGAGCCTGCGTGTCCGGAGCCTGTGCTCCGCGACGGGAGAGGCCACAGCAGTGAGAGGCTCGCGTACCGGGGGAAAAAAAAAAAAAGAAAAAAAACGAGGGGGTCAAAGTAACCTGGTAGAAGGGGTGGAGCTAGAAGAAAGGTCGGGGTTACGATTGGAAGGACAGGGATCAGTGTGGGAGGATGAAGTTTCCTTCGGAAAGGGGGGCAGTCAGTGGGGCTGCGATTGCCCACTTAGCCCAGGAGTTGCCGGGGAAAGGGAGCGGGGTCTGCCAGAGAACGGGGCGGGGTCAGTGCCTACAGGGCTGGGCCAGGTGAAGAAGGGGTGGAGTGGACGAGCGAGAGGCGGGGCTAGAGGGGAGCTGGGAGAGAACTGACTGACCCCTTGAACTCGCCCTCCCCTCCACAGATCTGCCCCCCGGGTCCCCACAGTGCTCAGTCGAAGGGGTTCTTGGGGATCGCGTCCTCCGCTTCCGCTGCTCGTGGCCCGGCGGGGTCCCTGCCGCCTCCCTGCAGTTCCAGGGTCTCCCCAAAGGCGTCCAGGCGGGACCGGTGTCCTCGGTGCTCCTGGAGGCTGTCCCCGCCCACCCCCGGCTCAGCGGCGTCCCCGTCACCTGCCTTGCTCGCCACATGATGACCACGCGCACCTGCACTGTCACCCCGGGTGAGAGCTTCTTTCCTGTTTCCCGAGGAGGAGGGGCTATTTCTTTGCTCCTTTAGAACTTGAGAAAAGGGGACTTCCTAACTACAGGAAGAGAGATTTCCTCTATCTTTAACCCTACAGAAGGTCGGAGGTTTTCCCTATACCTCAAGCAGGGGCGGGGCCAAAATTTCTTTCCTGGACCCAGGAAGAGGGCTGACACTTTCCCACGTGTTCAGAGCAATACATGGTTGAGAATAATGTGAGTTTCCCAGGCCAGGAGCTGGCCTGTCTTAAGTACTTCCTAAGTCCTTGTTAAGGAAATCAGATGAATGAACGAGGGAGTGAGGGAAAGGGCAGATCTTCCCCTTTTGGCTAAGGTGCCCTATTAGATTCACCAAAGGGCACAGGACTTGTTCTCTTTCTTGATTGGGTTTCTTCCACCCACAGAGGCCCCTCGAGAGGTGCTGTTGCATCCGATGGTCAAGGAGACACGGTCAGGGAAGGTGGAGGTGGCGCTGCAGGCCTCTGGCTGTGCCCCCCCTTCTCGAGCATCTTGGTCCCGGGAAGGGCGGACCCTGGCCTCCAGAGGCGGGCGCCTGCGGCTCAGCCAGGATGGGCTGAGGCTCCTGATCAGCAACTTCAGCCTGAACTGGGACTTGGGAAATTACTCCGTTCTGTGCAGTGGGGCGCTGGGTGCTGGGGCCGACGAGATCACCCTCACTGGTGAGCCCCATCCTTTCCCGGAACCCAGGTCCTCCAGCCCTCTCTTCTCTCACGCCCAGGAGACTGGGATTCCAGCCTGTTCCTCCCTCAGACCAAGGAGTCCAGGCCCTCAGTTCCCTCCTCCCTCGGACACAGAAATCTTGGTCCCCGGCCTCCGCCGACCCCAGACCCTAGAACTCCCACCCCCAGATCCCTGACCCATCAGGGAATCCTGGACCCCAGTCACTTTTTCCATGAAACCCTCAGACCCAAGAGTCTGGGCCCCCAGTCCCTTCCTTTCTCAGACCCAGGAGTTGGGGTCTCCAGACCCTCTGCGCCTGGGACCTAGGAGTCCAGGCCCGTGGCCCCCTTTCCTCTCCCTGCTAAGACCCATGAATCCAACCCCCACCTTGATTCCACCCCCGCCCCCTCCCCAGGACCTTCTATCTCCTCATGGAGGCTGCAGAGCACCCGGGATGCAGCAGTGCTGACTTGGGATGTGGAGCGAGGGGCCCTGATTAGCAGTTTCCAGATCCAGGCACAGGAGAGTCCTGACCTGAGCAGAGCCACCGCGTCCAAGGACTGGATCTCCCTGCTCACCCTCGGACCTCGGGATCGCTCAGCTGTGGTGCCCCTCCTTCCTCAGAAGCCCCAGGTCTGGGTCTTTCGTATCGTGCCCACGCTGGGGCTCCAGCCAGGGACCCCATCCGAAAGCCAGGTCTACCGTGCCGGTGAGTTGGAGCCGCTGGGCTTCGTCCTGGGCTGAGAAGCCCTTCTCCTGGGCTTCCTCCTGTCAGTCTGTTTTGTTGGATCTTCCTTCTTTCTCTGTGTTAGTTTCCTGGGGTTGCTGTAATAAGGTACCATGAACTGTGTGGCTGGAAACAACAGAAATGTTGTTTCCTGCCCACTGTCCTAACTCTGGAGGCCAGGAGTCTGAAATCAGGGTGTCTGCAGGGCCATGCTTTTCTCCGAGACTCTGCGTAGACTTCTTGCTTGCCTCCTCCTAGCTTCTGATGGTGACGGGCAATCCTTGGCACCACTCCAGTCTCTGCCCTCAGCTTCCCACAGCCTCCTCCTCCCTGTGTGTGCCTCTTCTTTTTTTTAAATATAAATTTATTTATTTATTTGTTTTTATTTTTGGCTGTATTGGGTCTTCATTGTGGTGCACGGGCTTCTCATTGCGGTGGCTTCTCTTGTTGCGGAGCACGGGCTCTAGGCGCGTGGGCTTCAGTAGTTGTGGCGCACGGGCTTAGCTGCTCCGCGTCATGTGGGATCTTCCTGGCCCAGGGCTTGAACCCGTGTCCTCTGCATTGGCAGGCGGATTCTTAACCACTGTGCCACCAGGGAAGCCCCGCCTCTGTATTCTTGTAAGGACACAAGTCATATCAGATTAGGGACCACCCTCATGATCTCATCTCGACTTGATTGGTTGAATTGTGTCTCTCCCCAAAGATACTGTAGTCCCCTTTTATCCTCGGTTTTGATTTCTGAGGTTTCAGTTACCAGGGGTCAACCGTGGTCTGAAAATATTAAATGGAAAATTTCAGCAATAGGCGATTCATAAGTTTTAAATTGCGTGCCTGAGTAGCGTGATGAAATCTCACGCTGGCCCCCTCCATCCCACCTGAGATGTGAATCACACCTTTGTCCGGAGTATTCTGCCTGTTTGAAACTGTCTCAGTTATCAGCTCAACTGTCATGCTATGTCAGTGCTTTCGTTCAGGTAACCCTTATTTTAGTAATGGCCCCAAAGCGCAAGAGTAGAGATGCTGGAAAAAGCGTAGAATACACAGGGTTTTGTACTGTCCGTGGTTTCAGGCCTCCACTGAGGGTCTTGGAATGTATCCCCTGAAGATAAGGGCAGGGGGAACTACTGTATACTGACGTCCTGACCCTCAGTACCTGTGAACGTGACCTTCTTTGGAAAAGAAGTCTCTGCATATTATCTTGATTACATCTGCAAAGACTCTATTTCCAAAGAAGGTCACATTCACAGGTACTGAGGGTTAGGATATCACTGTATCTTTTTTGGGGAGACATAATTCAACCAGCAACACTCCCCAACTTCTAAATATTGGATGTGTCAGTCCTCAGCCCTCTTCGCCACCTATGTTTCTCCCCAGTGTGGCCTGTCCACCCTCATCACCTTAAATATCATTAATACTCAGATGACTCTCAAATGTCTGATCTCCAGCCCAGACCTCTGAACTCCAGACTTGAAAAGCCACCTCCCTACTTGACATCTTCACTTTGGATGTCCAGCTGGCATTTCAGACTTTACATGTCCAAAATAGATCTCTTGAGGTTTTTTTTTCTCCCAAACTACACCCTCCCCCCAACCCCCCACCAACTCTCCAGTCTTGCCATCCTGGGACAGGGCACCACCCACGTGCTGACATCACCTCCAACATCCCAAATACCATCAGGGTCCCATCACTTCCTTCTGAAATGCTTTCCCAATCCATCCACTTCTTTCCATTACACTCTGGTCAGACACCACCATCCTCTCTTGCCTGGACTGCAGCAGCCATTTACCTGGTCTCCATATGCCCCCTCTTGCCCTCTTACAATCCATTCTCCAGGTAGAAGCCGAAGTTATGCAAATCCGATCACGTTGTTGCTGCCTTGCTTAAAAGCCTTTCGTGCCTAGGCTTTGGCCCCTGTTAATCCCTCTAACTTCATCCTTGACCTCTTCCATCTTCATTCTGTGTCCTCCACCCACAGTTCTCACTGAACGCAGAAAACTCTTTCCTACCTCTGAGTCTTTGCATGTTCTGTTCCCTGTGCTTGGAACACCCTTCCCCCTGTTTAGCATGCCCGGCTCCTTATTCCCCAGGTCTCTGCTCAAATGTTCCTCAAGGACCTTCCTTCACGCACTTTTCTAAATGTCACCTCCCCTTCCATTATTTCTATCATAGCCCATTTATTTTTTCTTCTGAGCACAATCTGAAATTATGTTATTTATTTGCACATTCGTTTCTGATTTCCCTCCTAAAATTAACCCTCACGATAGCAGGGATCTTGTTTTGCTCACCAGTGGACCTTCACCACCTGGCAGAATGCCAGGCACACCACATTCACTAAGGAAATGTTAAGTGAATTGAGAGTGCCGGGGTCCCAGATTCCTGGGTTCTGACGGGGGGCTGAGGCAGGGGGCTCAGGAAACGGGTCCAGATTTGGCCCCTGCTCTCCTTATCCTCCTTCTCTTGGTCTCTTCCAGGCCCCATCCTGGGCCCCGGGGCCATTGCTGGCATCGTCCTGGGCTCCTTACTGGGCCTGGCACTCCTGGCAGCACTTCTCATCCTGTGTATCTGCTATCTGTGCCACTTTCAAGGTGAGTGAGTGACCAAGTGGTAGGTTCCCTACAAAGAGTCCCATTGGTTTCTATTTCTCTTCCTCCTCTCTTTCCCAGGAGAGACTCCTAACAGAAAGAAGCATACTCCCAGTTTGACCCCTGTATTCACCCTAGGAAAAGAAGATGCAGAGCGTGACCCCAGAGCAGACCCCACAGCCTCTGCCCCTCGAAGTTCCTCCGGAGGACCCTAGCCCAACCAGGGCCCACCCAGTGAGTGTGGGTGCCCCAGTGTCCTGGAATGGGGGTGGAACTTTTTGTGTTTTAGTCAGGCAGAGGAGATGGTTTGAATTCTCTTCCTCCCGCTTTTCTTATTGGTTTACAAAATTGGTAGATTTTCCCTGTCTTTTTTTTTTTTTAATATATATAAAAGTTGGACAGGACTTCCCACCCAATTTTTATATATATTAAAAGAAGTGCGAAATTCCAATTCCCCCCCAAATGAAGGAAAACGCCTTCATTCTTTTCCATAAAAATTGGCAAAACTTCCATTTTCTCTCCGAAGTGGGATAGAACATCTTCTTCCCCATAAAATTTGGGTTGTTGCATGTCTTATCTCTCCCAAGGGTGGCTAGACATTTTTTCCTCCTTGCAAGCGGAGGGAACTCAGCTAATTTTGGAATGGTGCGAGCTGGCTCTAGAAAAGGGTGAGTTATGTCACGTCCAGGGTAACCCCTGAAGTTGTCCCCCATCCCTCCCTTCTCTTCCAGGCCTCTGGTCCCAGCACAGTCAACTTTCCACGTGGGGACCCCAAGATTGCTCGGGCAGCCACGCAGGTGTGACCAGGGCTAGTGGCCTGCTCTGCGCAGGACTTTTGGGGCGGGACTTCCTGTTTCACCCCAGCAGCAGTAGGGGACCTCCTGTCCTGCTGTGACTGAAGGTTGGACCCGTAAAGTGGGACTTCCTGTCTCCCTCTCTCAGCGCAGAAGACTCGCCTTGTATTTGTGCAGCTAAGGAGATGGGACTCCCGGGCTAGGAGAGACTCCTGCTGACCTAACACTGTGGCTTGTACAACCTTCAACAGTCGAGGATCTGTGGCCAACGGGCAGGGCTTACTGTGCTGCCCCGAGCTGGAGAGGGCGCCCTGCCTCCATTCTCTAGAAAGGTCTTCCTATATCACCGTTTGCCTGCTTCAGGCCACGCTCCATCCAGCTCCCAGCGTCTTCATCTTAGATCAGGTCGCGTTCCTCTTCCCTTTAAGCCCTTCTGTGGCTGCCCATTGCCCTTCAGATGTTGTCCAAACTCCTCATCATGACCTTCAAAGTCTTGTGGTTTGGCTTCTGGCAGCCTCTCTGACCTTCCCTTCCAGAAGTTTCACCCCTGCTTCTCTCCACCATACTTAAGTTTGCCTCCAGGCCTTTGCTCCCAGAGTGTACTGTGCCTGGAGCAGCATTCTTTGTGTCATTCATTTTTTTGGCGGTACGCGGGCCTCTCACTGTTGTGGCCTCTCCCGTTGCGGAGCACAGGCTCCGGACGCGCAGGCTCAGCGGCCATGGCTCACGGGCCCAGCCGCTCCGCGGCACGTGGGATCATCCCGGACCGGGGCACGAACCCGTGTCCCCTGCATCGGCAGGCGGACTCGCAACCACCGCGCCACCAGGGAAGCCCTATGTCATTCAGTGGGATCTTCCCAGACCAGGGAACGAACCCGTGTTCCCTACATCGGCAGGCGGACTCGCAACCACCGCGCCACCAGGGAAGCCCTATGTCATTCATTTTTCAAGTGTAAAGGTAACCGTTACCATCTTAGAGGACCCTTCCCTAACCCATGACCCTAACATGCCTCAGTCATGGGTTTAGGTCCCAGAGGCCCTGAACCACCTGCTCCTCGTATTTAAACACATAACTATTTGTTTAGCCTCTGACCCCCTCTTAACTGGGAGCTCCACGAAGGTGGAGACCGTGTCATTATCCTCAGCACTTAACACAGACTTTGGTACACAGCAGGCCGTCCATATTTGTTGACTGATCAAATATTTGGGGCCAGTGAAGGACTGGGCTTGCTGCTACCATCCCCAGCAGGATGCCTTCCTTTTCCACCTGGGTTTCTCATTGGAAATTTAAGGAGTGCATCAGTGAAGATTCTTTTTGCTCTACGTAACAAAGTAAATGATAGCAAGAGATGGAGGTAGGTGGTTTCAGGCTGACTCAGCAGCTTAGTGACCCCATCAAGTACCTGGGCTCTTTGTGTCCTTCTGCTCTGCCACCCTCAGTGGGTCAGCATATTGTCTCACGTAGCGAGGTGGCTGCTGCAGCTCACGTCTTCACACAATTGTATCTGACGACAAAAGGAAGGGAGCAGCGTTCCTCTCCTCTCATGAGTGGGAGAAAAAATTTCCTGGAAGCCTAACAGTAAACTTCCCTTATGTCTCATTGAACAAAAACTGGCCACATCACTGCAAGGGAGGCTGGGAAACCAAATATCTCAGCCTGTATCGTGGGAGGTGGGCAAAGAGGGAAGTGGCAACAACTAAAGTATAGGCGACCAGCATCTGTCTCAAGGAAGGAAAGGATTCTGGTTAAAGATTGGGGCGGAAGAGGCCTTTCGGAAATACAGTCCTTGGATCTTTTTAAAAAGGTGGTGGCTGGGGTCCTGGATACCTGGACTCTCTACATCTATATCAGCTAGAATTTTCATTTCCTTTTTTTTTTTTTTTTTTTTTTTTTAAATTTTATTTATTTTTTGCGGTATGCGGGCCTCTCACTGTTGTGGCCTCTCCCGTTGCGGAGCACAGGCTCTAGACGCGCAGGCTCAGCGGCCATGGCTCACGGGCCCAGCAGCTCCGCAGCATGTGGGATCCTCCCGGACCAGGGCATGAACCCGTGTCCTCTGCATCGGCAGGCGGACTCTCAACCACTGCACCACCAGGGAAGCCCCTCATTTCCTTTTTAATCACTAGAAACAGAAAACCTAACACGAGTTGGCTTAAACATACATGGGACGTCATTGCTTATGTCAGGGAATGTGGGCATCAGATACGTTTTGACCCACTTGCTCCAGTGATGTCATATGGACCCAGTTTCTCTAGACCTTCCACTCTGCATTCCATAGTGTTTCTATCATTCTCAGGCTACACGTGTTGTCTACCCCACCGTGGCTATCCCCATAGACCCAGGATCTCTCCATGCGATGGAGAAAAGGAACCCTGCAGATCCAGACTTCACGCCATGGAGCCACGTGATTCCGCAGAAGAGCATCTCTTAGGAAATCCACACAGCTCTGGTGTTCACTCTCTCATTAGTCTGGCTGGGTCACGTGCCCACCTCTGAACCGGTCACAGTGGGAAACGGGCTATGCTGAGTGGCTTAAGCCAATCGTGCCACCTCTGCAAATGGGTCAGTTCCAAATCTACTAAAGAGAAAAGGGAGGGCAGAAATGCTGCTGGGGAGGCACCACCCATGACCACAACTCTCTGCCCTCCACTCACCCATATCCTTAATGACATTGACACCTGCAGGCGGAGACTTTGGAAAAAGGCGTTTATTGGTGTGGTGGTCTCAACACTCCCCATGACTTGGAACACACGGCCCCCAGGGCCCCCCGCCCCCCTTGCACCCCTCCCCCTGCCCGCCCTGTCCCCCGGAACCTTGGAAATGGAAGACAATGTGGGATGGGGCCCACGCCCCCGTCTGAGGTACAGTCACTGCCCCTTGCCCCTCTGCCTCTGCTCTGCCCTCTCTCCCCCTCCCAAGCTCTGGGTGGTGTAGTTCACGGTGGGTGTTTATAGAGGGTCTCCCGGGAGTTGGAGCTGGTGACTAGGCATCTTGGTCTGGGCTCAGGATGTCTGTGTGATGCCTCTCTCTCCCCCACCTTGTGTGATGTGGTGTGCCAGGGCGGGGTGTTCCTACAATCGGAGCTGAAGTTACAGCCTCAGAGCCCCTTCCTGATAACAGTTGCCCATCCTGGGGGGGGATACTACAGCTGGTCACCAGCTACAGGACAGCTGGAGCCGGGAGGCTATTGCTGGTCACAGTCGCTGGTGTGTGTGTGTGTGTGTGTGTGTGTCTGTCTGTCTGAGTGTGTGTGAGGGTGGTCAGGTCAGCCTTTAGGAGGTTCAGCCGGTGGAGAGGCCAGGGAGTGGTAGCCCAGCAAGCCCACACCTGTGGGCCGGCTGCAGGGGGGCAGAAAGCAGCTGGTTGGCGCTGCAGGTGGTCGAGGGGAGTGGGGGCAGGGCAGGGCAAAGCACTGAGACACACAGGTGACAACAGGCACCAGCCTGACATTTGGATGGAAGCACCGATTGGCCCAGGAGGGGGCCAGAAAGTCCAGGGTGGGGAGGAACAGGAAAAGTGGGAAGGTCTCAGGCCGCTGAGCCAGTGATGGGGCCTCTGGCTCCAGGCAGCTGGCCGGCTGACAGCAGGGAGGCCCAGAGCCAAGATGGAGATCGTGCACCTGCTCACAGAGGCTGAGTGACAGCTTGACAGACAAGCGTGATGGCCCTGCCCACTCCCAACCTGCCCAGGAGACAGCCTTTCAACAGGGTGGGGAGCGGGTGGTGTGAATGCATATATTGGCAAAGCAGGGAGCCTGGAAAACCTCTCCTCACAGCTTCCGGCACGAAGCCCCCATACCTACCTCTAGCCAGAGGTGAGAGACAGCAAGGTTGGGGGCAGTGGATGTGCGGGGTGTCAAGGAGGGAAGAGGGCTGAGCTCCCTTTCCCACCCATTCATACACACACACACACACACACACACATGCACGTGCAGGCTCACGCTCACACCCACTACACACACGCGATCCAGTTGACAGCCTGAGCTAAGAGAGGGGTGTGGGGTGGCCGGGGATGGGTCACAATCGGAAAGGTGAACAGTGGCGAGAATGGCTGTAGAAAGATGCATAATTTTGCGTTATCCCTCACAGTGATGGGTTCTGTAAAGATCTTTCCTTCTCTTCCTTTTCCTCTTAGAGCTCCTCTGCCCCCTCGAGACCCGCGGCGCTTGTTCCCCCTTCTCCTCTTGCTCTCGGCCTCAGACCGCCCGCGGGGGGACTCCAGGGCACTGGGTTCTTCCTACATCCTCCACCACAGCCAGCCCAGGGCAGAGAGGAGGGTCAGAGGCCCTGGGGGCCTCGGGGCCGAGTTCTCCAGGGATCCTGGGCCTGGGGAAAGAGAGAGGGTCAGGGGTGGAGGCCCAGAGTGGAGAGACCCCATGTGTGTCTCTGCTCTGAGGGTGTTGTCTGAGGATACCTCCTGGGGACCTTTCTGGCCTTTCACTCAGTGTGCCTGTCCTCTGACTGTTTTAGTCTAAGCATCTGGCTGATCACTGTCTTCTCCACCTACAAAGCTCTCCCCACAGATCTTGGCAGGGCTGTCTTCTCCCGACCACTCAGGTCTCAGTTCAAATGTCACCCCCTCCAGGAAGCTTTCTCTGATGAGCTTATCCAATGCTACCATCCCCACTTCTATTATTTGTTTTCTTCGTAGCCCTTATTGAAATGCAAAATTATGTTTTTGCTTATTTATGTGTGTATTTGTTAGCTTTTCATTTTACTTATGTGTCTACTTGTTTGTTGCTTTTCTACTGCTGCTAGACCGTAAGCTGTGCAAGTCCCTAGACCTTGGCTCTTTTGTGCATTGCTGTGTCCCGAGCACCCAATGCCTGGCCCTTAGTGGGCGCCCAATGAATATGTCTGTAGAACGGATCGGTTTCTTGCTCAGTCGAGGGTGCGTCTCTTTCCTGAGTTCGGGGACAGTCTGGGGGCGGCCCGGCATCTCCACCTCTCCGGCCCCGCCCATTCAGCCCCGGCCCCACCCACGCCGCTCCGGCCCCGCCCCTCCTGCCGCTCAGGGACGCACGCAGGAGCCGCATGGAGGCGCTGGACATTCCCAGCCGGTTGGCTGCGCGACACGTGTAGTTGCCGTAATGCCGGGCGCTCACGTTGGCGAAGAGAAGCATCGAGCGGGTGCGCTCCGTCTGCACCTTCAGGCCCTCGGCCGTGCCACTGCTCAGCCTGCCGGGGATCCGGGTCAGGGACCAGGCCGCAGGACCCCGGCCCGGGGGCCCTCTCCAGGCGGAAGGCCCAGCCCCCTGCCTGTCAGGCTCCCGGATTCCCTGGAGACCCTACATTCTGTCCCCTACCCCAGCGACCCCTAGCCTCGGGATCTAGCGCCCCATGGATCTCGGGCCACTCCCACCGACGCCCCTCTCCAGGCAGCCTAGCCCCTCAGGGACACTGGACTCTCTCAGTGTGCACCTCCGACCACTGGGGGCACCCAGGCCCCGCTAGACCCCAGATCTAATGGTCCTCTAACCCTAAAACTTCTCTGCCAGATCCTCAGTATCGACCCCCACCCCAGACCTTCCTGAAGAGCCGGAGGAGACCAGGCTCCAGCATTCATCATCCTGGGACCCAAATTTCCAGGAAGCCACCACAGTTTCCCTGGGGCTCAGAGGACCCCAACACCTAGAAGCTGGACCCTCAAGTTCTCAGGAGCCAGTACTCTACTCCCTCTGCCCCCCTCCCCGCGGTGCCAAGGACCAAGGACCCCACCACCGCCACCATCACCACCGCGGCCGGCCCCAGTGCCGTCCTCACAGTCTGTCATCCTTGTACCACTGGAAATCCGCGGGGGGCACCGCCATAGCTTCGCAGCGCAGGAGGGCGGCCCGGCCCACGGCTGTGCGGGCGCTGGTCACGTCTGTGATGGTCGGAGGATCTGGTGAGGGACCAGGATCAGCGAATTCTCCTAGCCGTGTGGGGACGTAGGGGTCCCACTCCCAGCCGGCTCCTCTCTCCTTACCAGGAGTCCAGGTCTCCAGCATCCCCCACCCCCACCCCCGCAAGACTCCTTCCTCGCGCAGACTCACCCCCTTCCTCCTCCCTCACACCCTTCATCCCCAGGGACCCAGGACCCGCCCCGCTTTCGTGCCCAGTGCCAGGGGGGCTCACAGTTGACTGTGACCAGCACGCGGCGGCTGTCAGGTGCAGAGTTAACTCCGTTGTGAGTCACGCACTCGTATTCCCCGGCCTGGCCCCGCTGGATGTCGTAAATCTCAAGGATCTCGCCTTCCGAGGTGAAGCCATCTGTGGTGGGAGGGGAGGGGAGGGAGCGGGGCCAGACACAAACACTTAACACGGGACAACACGGGCACAACACGGACACACATCAGCGGGGCAGACAGCGCAGGGCCTGGAGTGCCCGGGTCAGTGGGAGTGGGGAGGGGCTTGCCGGGATCTCCTGCTAGGGGTGGGGCAGAGAATGAGAATCTGGGGCTTAGTAACTAGAACCCAGTGGGGAGGGTCCTAGAATTGGGGGCGTTCAGGGGATACAGTGATCTGGGAGTCCATAACTCAGATCATGTGGCTCACAGGACCCAGTGGGGAGGACCCTAGGGTCTTGGGGCTCAGAAAGATCCAGAAAATACAGACCCAGTGGGGGAGGATCCAGAGTTCTGGGATCTAGCCCTTGGGGCCCAAGGAATCAGGATCTGGTGACTGGGATCAGCAATCCAGATATCTGGGGTCTCATGACAGAGCCCTGGCTCAGAAGACCCTTTGGGACTCAGAGCATCCAGGGATCCAGAAACTCGAGACCAGGACTGTGGGGCTCAGATGAACCACTAGGGGAGGATCCAAGGATCTGAGACCTAGTTATTGGGTTCTGGGGTCCCAAGGGATCTACTGATTGGCACAATTGGTCTCCAAAGACCCAGTGAGTGAGGATCTAGGGATCTGGGAAATGGTAGTAGAGATCTAGGTAAAAGGGGAGTGGGTGATGTCTGGGACCTGGAATGTCCCTTTCAGGCCCCTTGGCATTCTGTTTGGGGGCAGCCGTGGTTCTTAGCCCTAGCACTGGAATCACTTGAAGGGCTTGTTCAGACAGACTGTGGTGGTGATGTGGGGAGGGGTGGTTCTGACTCATTAACTCTGGGGTGGGCCAAAGAATGTGCATTTCTGTCAAGTTTCCAGGTGATGCCAATGCTGCCAGTCTGGGGACCACACTCTGAGAACCACTGGCCTAAGGCATCGGGCAGAGATGTAGTGATGTGAGCAGACGGGAACGTGGGCCAGGGCCGTGGCTGTAACCTGGCTCTGGCCATCTAGTGGTAGGGGTCTGAGTCCAGGAGAATCCTGTGAGCTGCGGGGAAAGAGACTGAGGCTACCGGGGTCGGGGATGTGGGGCAAGTGGTAGGGGTCTGAGTCCAGGAGAATCCTGTGAGCTGCGGGGAAAGAGACTGAGGCTACCGGGGTCGGGGATGTGGGGCAAGTGGTAGGGGTCTGAGTCCAGGAGAATCCTGTGAGCTGCGGGGAAAGAGACTGAGGCTACCGGGGTCGGGGATGTGGGGCAAGTGGTAGGGGTCTGAGTCCAGGAGAATCCTGTGAGCTGCGGGGAAAGAGACTGAGGCTACCGGGGTCGGGGATGTGGGGCAAGTGGTAGGGGTCTGAGTCCAGGAGAATCCTGTGAGCTGCGGGGAAAGAGACTGAGGCTACCGGGGTCGGGGATGTGGGGCAAGTGGTAGGGGTCTGAGTCCAGGAGAATCCTGTGAGCTGCGGGGAAAGAGACTGAGGCTACCGGGGTCGGGGATGTGGGGCAAGTGGTAGGGGTCTGAGTCCAGGAGAATCCTGTGAGCTGCGGGGAAAGAGACTGAGGCTACCGGGGTCGGGGATGTGGGGCAAGTGGTAGGGGTCTGAGTCCAGGAGAATCCTGTGAGCTGCGGGGAAAGAGACTGAGGCTACCGGGGTCGGGGATGTGGGGCAAGTGGTAGGGGTCTGAGTCCAGGAGAATCCTGTGAGCTGCGGGGAAAGAGACTGAGGCTACCGGGGTCGGGGATGTGGGGCAAGTGGTAGGGGTCTGAGTCCAGGAGAATCCTGTGAGCTGCGGGGAAAGAGACTGAGGCTACCGGGGTCGGGGATGTGGGGCAAGTGGTAGGGGTCTGAGTCCAGGAGAATCCTGTGAGCTGCGGGGAAAGAGACTGAGGCTACCGGGGTCGGGGATGTGGGGCAAGTGGTAGGGGTCTGAGTCCAGGAGAATCCTGTGAGCTGCGGGGAAAGAGACTGAGGCTACCGGGGTCGGGGATGTGGGGCAAGTGGTAGGGGTCTGAGTCCAGGAGAATCCTGTGAGCTGCGGGGAAAGAGACTGAGGCTACCGGGGTCGGGGATGTGGGGCAAGTGGTAGGGGTCTGAGTCCAGGAGAATCCTGTGAGCTGCGGGGAAAGAGACTGAGGCTACCGGGGTCGGGGATGTGGGGCAAGTGGTAGGGGTCTGAGTCCAGGAGAATCCTGTGAGCTGCGGGGAAAGAGACTGAGGCTACCGGGGTCGGGGATGTGGGGCAAGTGGTAGGGGTCTGAGTCCAGGAGAATCCTGTGAGCTGCGGGGAAAGAGACTGAGGCTACCGGGGTCGGGGATGTGGGGCAAGTGGTAGGGGTCTGAGTCCAGGAGAATCCTGTGAGCTGCGGGGAAAGAGACTGAGGCT